ATGCACATTGTGCTTTCTTTTTTTTCTTTTTTTTTTTTGCATCAACATATTTCACACCCCCTCTCCTCCATGTGTATATTACATGCTCACTTGAAACTCACGCGTTAAGAGGCTCAAGGCCGAATACACCTCCGAGATCAACAAAAGACGCAAGAGGCCACACTCGTACACATTTTAAATACACAAGTCATTCAATGAAAAAGTAACTAGTGCGGGAGTGGCACGAACAAATAAGAAGAGCGCAGCTAATGAAAAGTAATTGAAGTTCTTTGGATGCTTGACATGTGACATTATCTTAATGACTCTCGAGTTAAGCTCAATGACATCACTTCATATTGATTATATGATGTGACTTCCCATACAATGTTATAGATGGGATATGGGAAATTTTACTCGTAATCATCCTTAATAGAGATATCACGTCAATCTAATTTTACATGGCTCAAAATGACAAAATGTAATTTGCACAAGGTAATAGCAATGCACTCGTGCTACATATACATCTTGTTTTAAATTATTTCTAACATTATGTCACACGTCGGCTTATGATCGAACAGTTAAAAAAAAACACTTTCCTGCCCAACACTTTTTTTTGAATTTCCACATAATGCATGGAAAGATGTAACTCATAAAATATACACTTGGCATAATTCATAGAAATATGCCCCAATTTCGGAGTTGTCATTCAAGTGAACTTTAATATTTTTGATAACAACATTTTTTAAATATAAGTTCGTACAAGTTGCATACCTTTGTGATTTAGCCCCTGTAATCCTGTTCGACAATCATACTTCTAAAATATTTTTTAAAATACTAATTTTCAACAACACATTCACACAATAAAATATTCTGCAAGTAAATCTAATTTTTTTTCATATTTTTTAACCACCCATTCTTCTAAAACTCACTACTGAAAACTCCATTTAGAAAGGTATGGTTGTCGAAGAGGGGCGATGCATGGCAAGATCTGACAATCGATATAGATTTGGTCCCAACCAATGTTTTTTGAAAATTGAACCGAACTCCTCAGTTCGACCTAAAAAATCGACAAGAAATTTGGCCAAGAAATGAAAGCCCTTTAAAACAAATCAAGAATTGACGGATTCATTTTAAATGATTGTTTATATTAGCAATGTTACCCTCAATTCGATCTGAATTTGATCTCGATTCAACCCTCTATCATTTTTCAAGTAAATATAAAATTTTTAAATATTGCTCATAACAATGTCCATGACTACTGTCTACTGATGTAGGACCTTTCTACACCTAACATTGATATGGTATAGTAATCGGTTAAAAGATATGATATATAAGTAAATAAAAACATCAAACAAAAATCATGATGTAAAATGTTTTGATTGGAAAAATCTTTGATTTTATCAATATACACAGTTTAAATACGTTCCTTTGATTTTTTGATATATTGAGCCATGCACAAAAATATGAAAAAGCATGGAATAATAATGAGCAGAATTTAGCTATATTATAAATGGCGGGCCCTTCATACACGGTTCATTTCGGCCGTCCCTTTTTGTCGTCTCCGCCTGCTTCCGTCGTTCCCTTGCCTTTGACTCTCTCTCTCTCTTCACTTTTTCCCTCTCTCTCTCTACCTCTTTTATCTTATTTTGTAATTTCTGTACAAACCTTGACACTTTCCCCTTTGATCTTTATATATGCGCATATAAATTATCTTCTTGTTTTCTTCTCTTCTTTGGGTGTTGTGTTTTCTTGATTTTTATTTTTTTAGTTCTGCTGAGTGGGCAAGCGTCTGTATATTTTCAGAAGTGTCTACCTCTGTTCAGACAAACTCAAGAACAAAGGAACCCACAAATTTTTACAGTTCAGAAGTTCGTGGAGCGTGATGAATAATAGAAAAATACTCATATCTGTCAAGAAATCATTGTGACCCTTTTGTGATTTTTAGATATAAATTGTTTAAAAATCTCTTATGGCTGGCAGTAATGAAGTAAACTCCAGTGAATCCAAGGTAATTTTTCCAGAACTTTCCTGTATTGGTTATAGTTTTTTGCCTTTTATTCGGGTGGGGGGGTCTAAAAATTAGGGTATTTTCTTATGCTCTGGCCTGCAAATATTCTTTATTTTCCATAACTTTTTTTATGTCTAATCTTGTTTTTGAGCTTCCTATTGAAGAAAGTTATGATTGTTGAGAGTAAAAAAGTCTGATTTGTGGCGAAGAGTTGAATTTTTACCTTTTGATTTATGGGGTTTGGCCTTGGTTATCTTTTATTTTGATTATTGAGGGAGAAAAGGGTCTGATTTTTGGCAAAAGGTTTGGATCTTTTTTTATTTCTAGGGCATAGGCTTTGATTTTTCCCCTTTTCTTTCACCCCTTGCTTTATCGGAG